CTGGAAATTATCTGGAAATTTTTAAATAAGTTAAGGAATAGGCCATACAAAAAAGAAGTATACGATTCCATATACTCTCTCTTCTTTCCACATAATATATATTAATATAATATAATATTATTTTTTATTGTGTAATATATTATTCGATTGAAAAAGTGTTATTTTTATCATAAATTTTTTCAAACGAAAAAAAGAGAGAGAGAGAGAGGAAGATAGTATATTAGCAAAGGGTTATACTCGATCATAAAACGCGGGAGGTTATTTAACGAATAATATACAATCCTCTCGACTTGCATCGCTTACTATTAATCTCTCAGAGACAAACACAATTCCTAGCTGGGAATTTGAAAGCGTGACAACCTGTTGATAGAATGTCGCGTGCCAAACATCCGCGTGACGGAATAGACTATGAAAGAAAAAGAGAGAAGGGTTTTCAAATCAACAAGAGGAAGAGATAATTGTGCTAGGAAAGTCTGTGCAGAGGGTAGAAGATCGCGAAGATCCTTTGCCAGGATAACGTCGTTTATGTGGATTTATTACCTTGGAAATTTGTGCCCTTTTCTTTTTCTTCTTCGGAATATCGCGTATTGCCAGTTCTTTTTTTTCTAACGTTTTCATTTAAAATCTTATTCAGAAAAATATCAAAATAATTGGGGATTTTAACGATAATAACTTTTGATAAATTTTCGGAAAAAAAAGTTACTCTTACTTTGTACGTATTTTTCTCTTTTTTTTTTTTGTTATTGTTGTTAATTCGGCTCAGAAAATTTCCGGATACAGGCGAGAAGAATAAGAAGAATAAAAAGAAGAAGAAGAAGAAGAAGAAGCAAAAGGGAGGGTCTTACGTTAGAGTGGATTAGGGCACAGCATAGGGTCAAAACGATGAAAGGTCCCCGATTTTAACCGAGAAATTGCCAAAGGCTCGTCTTACGAAGAATCGAAGATTAGCGGGATACAGAGGACAGCTTTGAACGTAGACGAAATTCAAAAAGGCACTTACGTTCTTGAGAAAAATGCCATACGTTTTACCGGGCCCCCACGCACCATCGATCATCCACCATGATCGACGTTACGTCTACGAAAACTTTCCCCTTCACTCCTCGTTATTTTTCTACTAGAAGATGCAAAGACGGTCAAATCTTTTTCCCTCAGATATTACTTTTTTTTTGTCCTTTCTTTGTTCACCCTTAAGCCACATTTTTATTTTAACTTTTCTCTTATATATATATTTTATATACATATATGTAATAATACAATATTTGACGCGTTTCATTGATATTTTGTTCTTTTTTTATATACTCCAGTAGATATTTTTCTTTACATTGAAGATATTTAGTTGTAATAAAAGGAAACTGACTAAGCTAATTCTTGTTTCTCGTAATGCCGGAGATATACGATTTAGCAGAACGTCGTTGTGCAACTGAAAGCGTCTCGGTTGACAGGTTTTCAAAGCATCGTTCTACAATCATTACCAGTTGTTAACATTCTAAACCAGTGTGATGTTATAATGATACGCGGCCATTATATGCGAAAGTGAAAAGCAAACGAGTTTCGCACTGCATTTACCGTAATCGACGAAACTGACACAAGTGGTAAATACTTTCGAGCAAAGTGCTAGACTTTTTCAATGCTGATCTTATTGATCTCTTGGTAATCGTGTTACTCGAAACGTTTCCTCGACGTGCTATACAGATATACGCACTTATAATATATTTTGGTATTATAATAAATACGAGCACGATCTAACAAGATATAAAATGATAAATATTTGAGCGATAAGATGATCCATAAAAACCAATGGAAAACAACGATTCGCGATTAATCCTCGATGAACTGAATCAACATTTCTGTTAAGTAGAAATATTTCAAATTTTCTTGGAGAAAATTTATGTATATAAGCGATAAATGAAGGTAATTGCATCTTAACTAGATTAACCGATAAGAACAAAATAATATGTTAGTAAGATAAAATCGATAAAATCATTTTTCCCCCGTGCGAATGATATCTGTGTTAGTTTAGTTTGGCCGCGTACATACGTATGTACGTTTGACGTTAATTACGTGCCAAACTATGCGTGCAAATCAAGTATCTCCAATTTCTAGTTTCTCCATTAAGAATATTTAAATGGGCGTTTGAGAAAACCTTTGAAACGTATAAATATCTGACGAACACTTTTCGAATTAATCGTACTCGGTAATTGCGAAGAAAAATTTTATGAGAATCCGGTTTTCACAGTATAGTTAAGTATAATATATACGTACG